AGATTATAGACAGATATTTTAGTATATGGTCATCATAGCTTCAACTGCAAAGTATTGTTTAGTTTCATGAATATGTGGAGGAAATGTCCGCCCGACATTTGTTGACACATATCATATTATAGACTAAAATTCCATTAAAATATCTACCAGTATTCAATGAATGTCTAAATAAATGCATTCTTTTCGAATTTTTCTTCTCTACATAACTGAAAATACTGTTTATGCTACGGATTGAAAATTGATATCTCTGTCTTTTCTTACTTGATGATGATACTGCTGTTGTCTCTCTGGTTGATAAAATCTTTCGTGGTGCTTGATAATTAGTCTAAATAATTATAAAATTAAATAATAATCGATATAAAATAAGAAATTTGTATTACTCGATCATCATCATCATCATCACGGTCTTCGGATATATTCGTACTTGTTGCTCCGTTATGTAATCTATCTAATAAATCTCTTGCAATACATCCTGTTAAATTTCCTTGTAAAAATGGATGCTAAAAATAAATAAATAATTATAATTCATTCGTTTAATCTTTGTTATTTATATACATCAAGTAATCTTTCAGCTGATGGTCGTTTCTTGGGATTTTTGATTAGAGCATATTTAATAAAATTTTGAAATGTCATTGACCATTTCATTTTCTCTCGTAGTGATGGTGGTTTAAAACCTGATTTAGACATTAAAAATAGAGCACGCATTGGATGTAAATCAAACATAGGAGGTTGTAATTCAGCAAATTCAATTCCTGTTATACCAACAGCCCATATATCACATAAATGATTGTAGCCACCTTTACGTTCTACAGCTGCGACTTCTGGTGCCATCCTAGAAATTGAATAATGATTGAAAAAAAAGAAGAACTATGTTGTATTCTTCATACCAATAAGGTGTACCAATAAATGATTTTCGTTTGCACATAGTCGCAGTTATACTTGCTGCAACACCGAAATCAGCTAAATAAATCAAATTAGAAAAATCTTCGAAACTAATTCATCAAAGAAATTTACCTAATTTTACATTTCCATCATCAGTGAGTAATATATTAGCACCCTATTAAAAGAGGATAGGAATGTGTTTATAATGTTAAGAAGAAGTTTTACTTTAATATCACGATGCATTTTACCATTTTTATGAAGATAATCTAATCCTTTAAGAGTTTCTTTAAGTATATAAGCAATTTGTAATTCATTAAGTGGTCCATATACTAAATAAAAACTAGATTTATTTCGAGACAAAAAAAAATATTCTAACGAACCATGATAAATATCTTGCATAGATCCTCCTGAACATAATTCCATGGCAATCCATAATTTATCTCGACTAATAAATAAATAAATAAATAAAGTCAATTCTATTCAGTTTTCTTTTACTTTCTATAGCTGCCGAAATAAGCAATAATATTGGGATGACTACATTGAAGCATCATCACAATTTCTTGTTGTATTATACTAAAATCATCACCTGGTTCCAATTTAATTACTTTCATAGCTCGCATTAATGCTGTAGGAATATGTCTAGCCTAAAACAATTCAATCATTTTTCTATATTACAAAAAAATTTTTTTTTTGAACAAACTTTATAAACATCGCCGTATGTTCCTGAACCAATTCGTTGTATAAGTTCATATTCATTTGTTGGACTCGAGGAAGACACTATATCTAACATTGGTTTACGAGTACTGCTCATTTTCGTAATTGTGGGAGTTGAGAGAATACTCTATGATAATATTTAATCATGGCATATAAAAGAAAATGATAAGAATGCTTATATATTTAAAAAGAAATTCATCGGAGAAGTCATGATGAGAAGGATATTTTGAATTAAAAATGACTCATCGTATCTGACAGATCCATTAGAAAATAATAATTGCCTTCATTAGTCTTTTATTCATATGAGTAGAGTATATCAAAATATTTTATTAACAATGTAAATCTTATTAAAATTCATTGGAAGAAATTTTAATAGATAATTTTTAAAAGTATTGACAATTAACGACCTCTATTGAATCTATAACAGATGTAGCGATCAGCTAAAGCTTCTAGAGTGCTATCAGTAATACAAAAAACTCTTGCCCAAAGTCATACAGGAAGACAAATTTTCACAAATCGTAGATCATTATTTTCATTAGAGACGGTAAACTTTTTTCTTTTTCGTATTCATCTTAATAAAAGATACTTTACACAACTCTTGATCATAGCTAATGGTTCAACTGTCATAAAAATAGTGACAAATATTGCTTTTCTAATTATATCTTGGATGTAGTATAATGAAATTGAATACTTAAATCAATTCCGAACAAAATAATCTTAAAGAACATGTTATAAAATCACTCTTTTTTTTCTTCGGAATCTTCTTCATAATTGTAT